ACATGCTGTGCACAATTGCGGCGGGGAGGCCATCATGGTCTCTGGTGAGCCTGTACACAGCAGGCAATATGCCAGCACCTCCGCGGTCCTGGTCAAGCACCAATGGACAGTGATCGCGGGGTGGCCACGCGTAATCCAGATTTAGCCGCGAAGTGCATGTTATATGGTTTTGACAAGGATGGTGGCTTTACGCAAGCAGGCAAGACAAGGATGTGATATGGTTTTGACAAGGATAGGGCACCCCCGCCGTCCTGGTCAAGAAACAGTGCAAAGTGTTCGCGGGGCCCACGCGCATGACCAAGATGTTGTCCCGAAGTGTGCTTCGTATTGTGTTTTGTCAGGAATGCGGGGGGGGGCGGTCGCATTTGTCATGGTTGGCTGCCGGTCGCCTGGGGGAGGGGGTATTTATCCATAGGGATCAATGATAAACCTCCCTCCGGAGTGTACGAAGGGGGTCGGAAGAGGAATCGTCTTAAACACTCACGCCCTAAAGGGCTGCTGGGACTTCGGGCTCCCCCTCTTTGGACCCTCTTGGCGGGGTAAGAAGCTTGTTGGGAGGCCTCTGGGGCTGTGTTGGGGTCCTCTTGGGCCGTCTCGTGGCCGTCCTGGGGACTGAGTTGTGGCAATCTTGGGGGCTGAATCGGTAACGCCAAAATGTTTCAGAAGCCATGCAAAGTTAATGTTTGTTTTGACTCTTGGGGAATCCTTGGAGCTGTATTCAGTAATTTCGAGGCTATCTTGAAGCCTTTCCTGCCACCTATGGATCCCGACTCGAATGACCTCTTGGAGCCCCCTTGGGGTCCCTTGGGGCGCTACTGGGGCGCTCATGGCGGCCCTGAAGACGGCTCCCAGGAATTCCAGCATTCGTAACACCGACCGCCCGGGGACCGCGAAGGTTCAGAACACTCGAAACCTTGTCTCCGCAATGTTCGTGCTTCTCTGGTCCGTTTGGTTGGTGATTTGACTGCGTGTGTGCGTGTGTGTGTGTGTGTGCGCATGTGTGTGTGTATGTGCGTGCGCGTGTCTGTGTGTGTGCGTGTGTGTGTGTATATGTGTTTGTGTGTGTGCGTGCGTGCGTGCGTGAGTGTGTGTGTGTGGGTGTGTGTGTGTGTGTGTGTTAGAGGACTGTTGCTGCAGGAAGCTACGCACGCCTGGCAACACCCTCCCTGTCGCGCTTCTCGCCCACATCCTGCAGCAACACTACATGTGGCGCGTGCATCTCCGTGTTGTTCTCTGGTGCGCCTTCAAGTAGCAATCATGCCCACTGGCGCGCGTCAGCGCCAATCAGCTCCCAACAATCCAGTTTGGTGTTATCGAACATTAGCGCGAAGTGGGGAATTATTAAGTTTAGGTTTGTGATGGTGGTGGTGATGATGATTGTGATGATGATGGTGATCGTGCTGGTGATCAGGAGCAGCAGGCGGAGAAGGAGGAGGTGAAGGCGGAGGCGTTGGCAGGAAGGCGCTACGATGATGCGGAGGTGGGTGATGGGGGAGAGACAACACATGGATGTGATGCCGAAGATGAGCTCGATGCTGATAGCAATGATGATAGAGGTGTCGGTTACGATGGCGACGAGGTCGATGGCGATGGCGATGACGATGACTATGCTGATGATGATGACCAAGATACTGATGATGATGCTGATGATTATGATGCTGACGCTGATGCTGATGCTGAAGAGGAAGATGAAGACGGTGATGATGACGATGATGATGATGATGGTGATGTGGATGATGATGCTGATGATGACGATGATGATGGTAGTGGTGGTGATCATGATGACGATGGTGGTGGTGGTGCTGACGCCGATGATGCTGAACGATGATACCGCTGCTGCTGCTTCTGATGATGCTGGTGATGATAGTGGTGGTGATGGTGGTGTTGACGATGATGTGCATGATGATGATGTGATGTTGATGATGGCGGTGAAGCCGATGTTGATGATGAAGATGGTGACGATGATGATGCTGATGATGATGAGGGTGCTGACGACGATGATGATGGTGGTGATGATGCTGATGATGAAGATGTTGATGATACTGACGGTGAAGATGATGATGATGCTGGTGATGATGACGATGATGATGATGACGGCGACGGCGATGGCGATGGCGGTGGCGAAGACGATGACCGTGGCGATGATGATGATGATGATGATGATACTTGCGACGATGCTGATGATCATGGTAAGATTGATGATGATGAAACTGATTATCACGATGATGATGAGGATGATGTTGCTGATGATGATGATCATGATGCTGATGATGATGTGCTGATGATGTTGCTGCTGATGATGCTGATTATGATGCTTATGATGATGGTGGTGGTGGTTGCGATGGTGTTGATGATGATGCTGATGATGATGATGATGATGATGATGATGTTGATGATGATGCTGATGATGATGATGATGCTGCTGATGCTGATGATGATGATGATGATGGTGATGGTGATGGTGATGGTGATGATGATGATGACGAGGGGCAGGATGATGAGGAGCAAGACGAGAAGCAGGAGCAGGAGGCGGAAACGGACGAGGTGGAGGCGGAGGTGTTGACAGGACGGCGTTACGATAATGCGGATGAGGGTGATGGGGGAGAGGCAAGACATGGAGGGGATGCCGACGAGGAGCTCGACGCTGATAACAATGATGATGGTGGTGTCGGTGACGATGACGACGACGAGGTCGATGGCGATGACGATGACGATAATCATGCTGATGATGATCATGATGATGACCAGGAGGATGATGATGATGATGATGGTGATGATGATGGTGATGATGATGCTGATGCTGATGCTGACGCTGATACTGATGCTGAAGACGAAGATGAAGATGCTGATGGTGATGATGATGATTATGATTATGATGGTGATGGTGATGATTAAGATGATGGTGGTGGTGATGATGGTGATGTGGATGCTGATTATGCTGATGATGACGATGATGATGGTGGTGGTGGTGATTATGATGACGATGGTGGTGGTGTTGATGCTGGCGAAGATGATGATCATGATGATGCGCCTGCTGCGGCTGATGATGCTGGTGATGATGATGATGGTGATGGTGCTGATGATGATGCTGCGGATGATGATGATGATGATGATGTTGCTGATGATGATGATTATGATGATGGGGATGCTGATGTTCGCAATGCTGATGATGAACATGATGCTGATTATGATGATGATGCTCATGACAATGATGCTGGTGATGAGGACGATAATGATATTGATGATGATGGTGAAGATGATGCAGCTGATGATGATGATGATGATGATGATGATGATGATGATGATGCTTTTGACGGCGATGATGATGACGGTGGCGATGACGATGACGGTGGCGACGATGATGATTCTGATGATGATGATGATGATGATGGTGCTGACGATGATGATAATGATGGTCGGAGGTTGGGGGGTGAGTCCGACGTGTAACGGAGACCACCCCTACCGGGAAATCGATTTCGGGTTCGGGTTCGTGTCGTGCGTGCCGTGCGCGCGTGCGGGCGAGGCGAAGCTGCGTGTGCGGGCGAGAGGATCTCCTCCTGTGGCTGGGCCGCGGCCGGACCAACTGCTTCTCCTCCGGCGGCAGGTGGCCCGCGGTGTCCCGCCGGTGTCCCGCTGGTGTCCCGAAATCCTCCTGTGGCTGGGCCGCGGCCGGACCAAATGTTACTCCTCCGGCGGCTGGTGGCCCGCGGTGTCCCGCCGGTGTCCCGCTGGTGTCCCGTGGTGTCCGCCGTTGCTGGGGAGAAGTTAAGACAAATGATTCTCCCCCTCCCGCCCGTCCAGCGGTGGCTCGCGGTGTCCCGCGGTGTCCCGTGGTGTCCCGTGGTGTCCCGTTGAGTGAGATCGATATCGATGTGGTGCCCCGAGGTGTCCCGTGGTGTCCCAAAAAGTGAGATCGCTAGTGAGATCGCTAGTGAGATCGTTAGTGAGATCCCCGTGGTGTCCCGTGGTGTCCCGTTGAATGAGATCGATAGTAAGATCGATACTGAGATCGATGTGGTGCTCCGAGGTGTCCCGTGGTGTCCCAAAAAGTGAGATCGCTAGTGAGATCGATAGTGAAGTCGACAGGTGTCCCGTGGTGTCCCGTGGTGTCCCGTTGAATGAGATCGATAGTGAGATTGATATTGAGATCGATGTGGTGCCCCGAGGTGTCCCTTGGTGTCCCCAAAAGTGAGATCGCTAGTGAGATCGTTAGTGAGATCCCCGTGGTGTCCCGTGGTGTCCCGTGGTGTCCCGTTGAGTGAGATCGATAGTGAGATCGATAGTGAGTTCTATACTGAGATCGATGTGGTGTCCCGAGGTGTCCCGTGGTGTCCCGTGGGGTCCTATGGTGTCCCGTTGAGTGAGATCGATAGTGAGGTCGATAGTGAGACCGATAGTGAGATCGAGAGGTGTCCCGCGGTGTCCCGTGGTGTCCCGTGGTGGCACGTGGTGTCCCGTGGTGTCCCGTTGAGTGAGATCGATATGAGATCTATAGTGAGATCGACAAGTGTCCCGTGGTGTCCCGTGGTGTCCCGTTGAGTGAGATCGATAGTGAGATCGATTGAATCAGATGTTGGCTCCCCCCCTCTCCCCCCCCACAACCTCCTTATCACCCGAAGGGTGGTCGTATAGGTATTGATTACTATTATGATGATGCTGATGTTGATGCTGATGATGCTGATGATGATAGTGGTGGCGTTGGTGGTGCTGATGATGCTGATGCTGCTGCTGCTGATGATGATGATGATGATGGTGATGATGGTGATGATGGTGATGATGATGATGATGATGATGATGATGATGATGATGACGATGATGATGACGAGGGGGAGGATGAGGAGGAGCAGGAGGAGAAGCAGGAGCATGAGGGGGATCATGAGTAGGAGCAGGAGGGGGATCACGAGAAAGAGGAGGGAAGAAACGAGTGATGCTACGAGCCAGGATGGAGGGAACGAGTGAGTGGTTGGTCCCAGGCTGGCGCCGCCCGCTTTGCGCCTCAGGCATCCTGGAGCGGCACCAGATGGAGCGGCAGAACTTCCTCCACCTGGTGGAGGAGATTCAGACATCCGATGTGTTTTTTCAATACGCGGTCCCGGGAAGTCCTGATCCTTTCCCGTCAAGAGTTGTCTTTTGACGGCCTTGGGGCCCGACGATGGCCCAGAAGGTCGAAACCAATGAAACATCTCCGTCATGCTTTCTTGTTTAAGCGTTGGCTCTACGCCTCCCAATTGGGGTCCGAGTAGATGGAGTCGGTGTACCGCGCCATATCGCCGATGCATCTGGGATGCAGCTCGATGTGGACCGCGACTTTCTCTTCGCCGCCAGCGCCGCTGATTCATCGTCGACGTCGCCAATGCATCCAGAAGGGCCCCCAGGGCCCCTTGGAAACAAACAGCAACAATAAGTCAAGGGCGGGGTCGGCTTCCGAGCCCGTCTGGTGTTTGTTTCCTTTTTGTTGCTAGGGCCCTTCGGCTGCCTTATTGGGCTGTCCTTGAGGGGGTTCGACGTAGGCTCCTTTCGAAATTTTGTAGTGGCCGCGAACGTAGCCAGAGTGGTGTTATCGCCCTCGAGGCTCGGCGCGATGGCACCCAAGCCCAGATCTCTCACTCCTTCCAGATCTCAGGTGTTCGATAGGTGTGCTTGAGTGTGTTGGTAGGACGTCCTGAAACTCCACTACCAAGTTCAACTCCTCCGCTTCCCAGCCCCCCCGGAAATCCCCACACTGCCCATCCTAGCCTCCCCCTCCTCTCCCCTCTCCCCCTCCGCCTCCTCCCCCTCTTCCTTCCCTCCTCCCCTGTCCCCTCCCAGCCTCTGTCCCCTCCTCCCCCCCCCACTCCCACTGGGACCATGATGCCGCCCACCACGCCGCAGCCGACGCCCTCCCCGACGCCGCTGACGCCGCCCGCCGCCGACGATGCCGAGACGACCCCATCGACGGCGCCGCCGAGGCCGGTGATGACGCCGACAACGACGGGTCTCGCTGCCGACGGCGGCGCCGACGACGAAGACAGCGCGGGGCCGTGCCGCCTCGCCGCGCGGGCGGGAGGAGCACCTGGACCGGCAGGTCGCGTCGCGGATCGTAGAACACCCGCTGTTCGCAGGGCTCAGCCATCCCCGCGCCACGCGCCACCGCAGCAGCCGCCGCCGCCGCCTTCGTCGTCGTCGTCGCCGTCGTCGTCGTCGTCGTCGTCGCCGCCACCGCCGCCGCCGCCGCCGGATGGGAAGTCGGCGGAGGCCGAGGCGGAGGCGGAGGCGTCGGTGGCGGCGGTGGCAGCGGCGGTGGCAGCGGCGGCGGTGTCGGCATCGTCGTCGTCGCCATGGTTGTCGGCGGAGCACGGGAGGGATAATCGAGGCTCGAGGCTCAGGGTTCGGTTTCGAGGTTATAAGCCGGAGGATCGAGGGTGGAGGCTCGAGGTCGATGATCCGAGGCTCGAGGATCGACGTTGGCCATGAGCCTTAATGCAGTGCTGCGGGGACGAGGACGTGTCAAAAACACCTTCCCTGATTTTTGTCGATATATGTCTTTCCTGGACTTTGGGGCTTTTTACTGTGCCAAGGGGCAATCAGCCATTGGTCTGGGACGAACTGGTCCCGGGATGGCCAGTTGGGACTTTTGGGATCACGCATTGAAAAAGTCATGATCAGAGGATGTCTGGGTTCGTCGTCACCGATGGCACGGAGGTCATCCTCACCTTCTACGCCCCCCTTGTCTCCTTTTGATGGTGGTCGTCCTTGCCTGTGCCATCATGCCCCCTCACGTTCGTTGCGGTCCCGTCTCGTCCTGCCCATCGCTGCCGTTTTTGCTTGCTCCCCTCCGTTTTCTCTCCGGTGGCGTCGCTTCGTGCAAATTCTATGGGGCGTGCAACACGTGGGTTTCCCTTGCAGTTGCCACTCGGTCGAGAGTGCCGTGTATCCGGGGATGGTGCAGAAGACTTGTTAAAGGTCGCAAAGGCTTCTGAGAAGCCCCGCTGCCTTTGAGAAGGTCAGCCCCCTCTGCCTTCCCCCCTTGGTCTGCCGCTGCAAATGGTGTGGATATGTGCTCGGGTAGTTCTCACAGTGCATACTTCAGAGGAGGAACAGGTACCCATTTGGCTACCCTTTGCCTGTTTTCCATGTTTGGGGCCTCCAGGGAGGCTCTCGTCGCCACCACTGGATTCGACTCGAAGTCCTGGTCAGAGCGCACCCCGGGAGAGGTCCGGGGAGCAGCAGTATCGGTATCTTCTGTCGGGACGATCGAAAAGGGTACGGAAAGAACGGGTGCAAAGACTGACAGCAGTTCTTGTTCATTCTGAACAGGGTTCGCCGTCGGCGTCGCCCTGGACGTTTCCATTTGAGACAGAAGGCCGCCCGCCCAACAGCGGCCGCTGTTGGTTTTGGACAACATCTGTTGTTGGGCAGCGTACCCATTTGTTCCCTTACCCATTCAGGGCGTCCAAATTCTGGTCTCCCCAATCTCCGAACATGCTACATGTTTTTGTTGCTGATTCAGCGAAAAGATACCTATGGGCTAAATTATTTTTGTTGAAGCCCTACTCGAATCGCGTGCCCTCCCCCATCGTCCGCTCGCGTGCCCCGGGCCTTCGGATGCAACTCTGGGGAGGTCAAGTTATGATTTGGCCCTGGTCCGAAATCTGGTTGAAGCCGGCTTATTCTTGCAAGATCTGCTTCAACTCGGCCTCATCAGGTTTCATTCGGCTTGATCCCGCTTAGTCCGCGGCCTAATCCGGCGTAGCAGCCCCCCACTAGGGGGCTTGATCCTTCTCGATCCTTCCGACGAAGACCTCCCAGTGGTTGCTTGCCGACGGGCCCTGCTGCGTAGCCTGTCGTCCGCGATGCGCCAGCGGCGGGGCAGTCCGTGGGCCCATGCATGGGACCGTCTGTGAGATGCCCCCCCGATGGCGAGCATCCTCGGGAAGCCTTCGAGAGTCCTGGGCCTTCGACTGGTTGTCGCTCGGGGCTTATGCGGTTTGTCTCGGCGAGGGCCGACGTCGCCGAAGCCTCGCCGACGTCGCCGATGCATCGGCGATGCATCCAGGGAGGCGATCGCGCGGCCGCGGCTTCGGGAAGGAAGACCTCGGGTTTTCCAGGGCAGCTTCTGAAAGTTGGCGGGCGGGGAGGTGATAGTCGTTGCTCCACACCTCCCAAAGAGGGTCCGAGCAGACGGGGTCGGTGGATCGCGCCGCATCGCCGATGCATCGGGGATACAACTCGATGTGGAGACCGACTTTCTCCACGCCGGCGTCGCCGATGCATCGGCAATGCATCCGCGATGCTGCGCAATCCTTCAACCTCATCTACTCGGACCCCATTTGTGAGGCCTCTAGTTGCTTGTGGGCAGCGCGCTCTGGAGCGGTATGGCTCGGCGGCGAGCCCGGCGGGGAAGTGAGAAGGGACGGGCCTTCTCGGAGGGTTCGGAAATCCTTGTGAGAAGTTTTCTAAGTCTTCCCCGAAGACGCAGAAAACCAGCCGTTTCAGAGGGCCCTCTGCTTCTCGCTTCCCCCCGCGCTACCAGCCGAACCATCGAGGAGCATCTTGGATCACCTTGCGCAGAAATACGCACATGAAGCCGCAAGAATGCACGGGGAGTGGACCTCCGAGCGATGGCAAGTTGAGCTTCCAGAGCCTGCTCCGAAGCTGCATGGGGGTTTCTCAGAGGCCCCGCCGCCTTCTGAGAAGGCATGCCATCACAGGCGGTTTTTCGCCCCCAGTCTGAAGTCGGGCATGCCCCTCTACAGGAGTCTGGGGACGATTTTCCAACTATTTTTGCCAATGTTTGAAAATTATGTTTTCTTTCAAAATCCGCCTTTAGGAGGACATGCCCGACCTAACCCCACTCCTCAAGTTGCCCCCGAAAAATCGAGTCGCTCCGAAAATGAGGGGACAGCCGCGGATACGCGTTAGAACTTTTACAGTACTTTTCGGACGCACCCCATGTCGAGGATGGACCTTCCCATCGTATGTGCCAGAGTTGGGCCTAATATTTCTGGCCCAGCCGAAGCCCCCCCTAATGCAGGTCTCGATTGAAATGGTGTTTTGGCGATCTAGTGGGCTGGTTCTGTTTCGATCTCGTTCTGCAGCAGTCCGACCGAAGACAGAACGAGGGACCCCAACAACACACAACGAGAACGAAAAGCACCGCTTGGCTCGAGCCCAAAGTCGGGTATCGGGGCCGCCCTCCTCCTCCTCCTTTTCCTCGTCCCTATTTTCCTCCTCGTTTTCCTCCTCCTCCTCCTCGCCATGCTAGCCCCTTTTGCTCAGGATGGCAGATTTGGGGGCTTGTGAGGGTCCGCGTCCATTCCGCACGGCCCTACTCTACATCCATCTTCGGAGGCATCCTGGCTAGCAGTGGTCATATCGGCGGTCGCCTATAACCCGATACATGTTACTGGTGATGGTCTTCTCGACATCTCACATGAGCTAGCCAACATAAATGCCGTCGGGATGCCAGGTACCCAAAGAAAGGCATTACCATATTCAGGCTACCGGGTGTTCATGATAAGGAATAGTTTGTGTATTGATGCGGGGTGGAGATCGGGAGTCCTTACGAAACGTTCGGCAGGAGTCGCTGCCTTGTTGCCGCCACGATGGCGCCAACGCGATGCACGACAGGTTGCCCTTCCTCCACCAGCGTTGCAGGGCCGTGGCGTATCCATCGAGTGCGGCAGGGGGGCTGGCATTTTTGCATCATGGTGCTCTAGTTCCCACCTCGCCCTTGACCTGCAGTTGGTACGAGAGCCCTCCTAGCCTGTTGTCGCCAACTCGCCTCGTGGGCCCAGGCGCAGCCCAAGAAACTTCCTGGTCGTTCTCATCCCATCGTGCTAGCTGACCTCAATGATGGAGTGAAGATAGTCAAGGGGGAGGGGCTCTGGGAGGAGGTCGAGACGGAGGCGGTGGGGAGGACTCGCACGAAGGAGCGGCACGTCAAAGGAGGAGGCCCGAGGGTCCGTGAGTTGCCAGGATCTGCCGACTTGTTCTCCCCCACCACGATGCGCGAGTTTGCGCCGACGTGTCGTGGAGGGAATGGCAGCAGTTTTATGATTGACCACGTGGCTATCCCGCTTCGGTGGTGCGATGCAGAAGGCTGCGCTAGCCCTATACGCGCTACCGGACGAAAGCCCCATGTCATTCTTATCCGAGAACGTCGGGACAACATGCAAGTGTTAGCGCAGACTCAAGCACCTAGATGGGGACGGGGACAACGACGACAGCCAGTCCTGGGCCCAGACGGTCTTGAGTTGAGCGGGAAACCATACGTTGGGATAGGAGCGAATTCGTGCAGAGTGTTCGAGGTGAGCCTGTTCGGGAAGCTTTGCTGAGGGAGGTTGAAATTGCCTCGGGACCCGCCTGGGAGGAACATCGCGGCAACATAACTCGACCTGATGTGTTTGTAGGCAAGATGAACTCTGCCATCTGCCGCGCTGGCGCTCAGCATGTCGGCAGAGGCGCGCGCGAGACGGGCCCTTGAGTATCTGTAAGCAACGAACGGCTTGAATTGCTTGCACAGCGAAGACGGCTACGAGGGTAGCTTCGCGACCTAGGCGACGCTGAGTTCCGGGCATGCTGCGAGCAACTTCGAGAGGTCACCCGGCGCAGCAAGGCACTGCATCGTCGTCGTCGTCAGGGCAGGAATGAGGCAATTGTGCAAGACCTACGGGATGCGCGACGTGCCAGGGACGTTTCGCTGATCAACAGATTGTCTTCGCGCCTTGCTGGCGGGCGGCTCGGTCGAGCCAAACTCGATCATCGCAAGTTCCGCGGTGCCCTGCCCGCGCCTGACCAGCGAATGGAGGCACGGGCGCAAGAGGGGGGACAAGGAGGGACGCAGGCTACGCGCGTAACGTGATCAGACTTCTGCGAGCGCCAAGATGCATTGGCCAAACGTTTCAGGGCTTGTGGGTGCGTCTCGCTCGAATTCGGCTTGCTCGCGTGCTATCCTTGAGCTAGAGTTGATCCAGGATTTGGTTCGCGGGCACCCAGGGGGCGCGGGGTGCCGATGTGGGCGTTTTCTCTTGAGCTCTGGCACGTCTGCACTGGCGCCCCCCTCGGCTCGCGACTCATCGCTTGCCGGGGCCAGCCTAGGGACCGACGCAAGTAAGGCGGAG